CATCCATCCATCCATCCATCCATCCATCCATCCATCCATCCATCCATCCATTCATCCATCCATCAATCCATCAATCCATCCATCCATCCATCCAGTTCTGGATTCAGGTCTCGGGGACAGCATTGAGCAGGGAGGTCCAGACATCTCTCTCCACAGCCACCTCTTCCAGCTCTTCTGGAGGACTCCGAGGTGTTGCTTGACCAGCCAAGAGACATTTGCAATTTTTGCATTGTAAGGCACGGCCTGGACTGGCCGCAGTCGGCCTGCCCTGACCATGGTTGTGTTTGCTTTGAGTAGAGTGCCACCTCGATGTGGGCGTGGATCATTTTATCAAAAAAGTGTGATGTTATATTATTTGCGACAGAACACTGGATGACATTGAGCTGGTTCTACTTCTTTGTTCTCTAGATAACCCAGGAGCAACAATAGCAAAGCAAAAGAAGGCAAAGGAAAAACACAAAACAGAGCTGTCTCACACATACCAACAGTGACGCACCAGTGGAGGGAATGAGCTGGAGCCCATTGGTCCCAGCAGCCTGATCCGTATGGAACCCCAGGTCACTGGGTTCCATACGGAAAAGAAAAAGGCCATAATACCAAATGCAAGGATTTAGAACCCAGGAGGAGGGGCCAGGATGGGTCGCCTTACAATGCAAAAATGGCAGTAGTTTTTCCAGTGTGTCCCAGGTCTACCTCAGTGTGTCCTAGTTGGACATGCCTGGAACACCATCCTAGAGAGGTATCCAGGGTCCATCCTTGCCAGATGCCTGAACCGCCTCGACTCTCTCCTCTGGATGTGGAGGAACAGCAGCTCTGCTCCGAGTCTCTCCTGGAGAAATAACTTCTGACTCTATCCTCTAAGGGAGAGTCCAGCTACAATACAGAGAAAACTCATTTAGACCTCCTGGATCCAGGATCTGGTTCTTTCAGAACTCTACCAGAGTTTATGACCAGAGGTGAGGGTAGGAACGTAGACTGACCAGTAAACAGTGAGCTTCTCTTTAAAGCTCAGCACCCTCTTCACCACAATGGACTGGCACAGGCTCCACAATACTGTGGAAGCTGCATCGATCAGTCTTTTGGGCCATTCTTCCCTCATAGTGAACAAAACCCTCAAATACTGAAAGCCCTATACTTGAGGAAGAACTTCACTACCAACTAGGAGAGGGAAGTCTACCCTTTTCCAGCTGAGGACCAATAATCTAAACTTTTATTTTGAAGTTCATTAAAAAAATATTGAATTGGACGACTAAACTGTTCTTTTGTCTCTTTTAGCAAGAAAAAACTCCAGACTTTGACGTCTGTGGAGTCGGTTTCAGAGTTTTACACCTGCGCTGCCGAGAATTGATACACCTACCACTGCTCACCAATCATCACCCTCCTGCACCAGGACCCCCCCAACCCCACCTGCAGAGCAGCTGCTTTGGCTCATAGATTAGTGTCACTGACCTTAATGGCAGACAACTGAAGGCCCAATCTTAGAGCTCTGCATGAGAACGATTCACACACTGTGTGACAAAGACCAGTGAAGGTGACACCGTGATGACGACTGGAATGGGAAAAAGAGACTGAGACACTTTAAATTACATTTTAGTTCTCATCTACTAACTTTAGTCCAAAAAGACATCAGAAATTACAAGGTCTTGTTTTAGAAATTATCTGCAGTTGCCTAAAATCTTATTTCCATCGCTACAAGAACACAGACTAACAACTTGTCTCCCTCAACCTTCTGTTTTTGGCCTTTATATCAATAAAGCACGTACTTCTGTATGAACACAGTGGTGCCTCAGAGGGCGGAGATCCACAATGAGACAAACTGACTGATCGATTTAATGTTCAATAATCTCCCACAAACATCAATCTCTGGGTCCTTTGTTCAAATATGAAGCAGAACTTCTTCCTCACACACCCATCACGCTTTCATGACTTTACCAAGAAATTATCTCTAAATGTTACTGTCCCAAATAAACAAACTAAAATCACTGATGACTTCAGGAAAAATAAACAATAATGCAGAGACTTTTCTAAAATTGTGGAGTAAAAAGAATGTGGTCGAATGTAGCTGGAAAGAATAAATAAACGTTCTCATTTAAGTCCTGACCGATGACGGAGTTTAGGGCCACGCTAAGAAAAAAATTACGAGAAAAAAAGTCATAAAATTACGAGAATAAAGTCGTAATATTACGAGAGACTACAAAAGAAGCAATATATTCCAAGTCCGTGTGGTTGTTTCTTCGAAACATACATGGTAGTTTGCACAATCGTTTCAAAGTCATGATACCGACAATAATCTGATGCTGTAATAATCTGATGCTGAAGTGCTAACAGATTAAGTATTTCCTTATTTGTAAAACCAATACCAAAGTATAAGCGTAAGTAAGAGATCCTTCCTGCCCACAGCCATCAGCATCTAGAACAACTCTTTAATGAAACCAGGATGATGAGTTACAACAACATTTAATTTCCCTCTGGGATCAATAAAGTATTTTTGAATTGAATTTAACAAGATGCTCAACATTCTTGCAAGAATGCTTTTCGTGTCGGAGTTCTGATAATAATACGACTTTATTCTGGGAATAATACGACTTTATTCTGGGAAT